AAAACTCAATGAATTTCAGAACAAATTAGTCTGTTTATTTTTTAAATAATGACGCCATTACAAATCTTCATATACCTCTGAATGTAAAAGTTGTTGATGGGTTAGTTAGTGTGACGGAAGCTGTTCACCAAAGATGTAGAAAGTAATTATTTGTTTATATATATATATATATATATATATATATATATATATATATATATATATATATATATATATATATATATATATAAAACATAAACATTTTCTGAAAGTTTTAGTTTAACAGAAATGAGTCCAGAAAACAAAACTCTAGAACATTTTCTCAAGAGAGGCTTAAAATACTGAAAATTTTAGGATTATCCTTAAAACTATTCAGAGATTAAATTTCCAAACCCTTTACCGGAATAAGAACGTGAATAGTCATGACTCAGATATTGAGTAATTTGTTTTTGCTGCAAAGAAAGTTGAGAAAAGTGACTAAAAATGGGAATAACCAATAATCACCGTGCACCGTTTTATTTTGCACTGTAACCGGAAGTCATTTCATCCAACACGATTTATTTCTGTCTTTACGCGCGGTGGAAAAGTTTCAGTTCTGAAGATGCAGAGCTCTTGGCCAAACATCCTCCAGCAGTGAGTTGTGAGTTAAAACACTGAAACATGGTATTTCACCCCGAAAAATCATAATATTGTTTAAAAACTAGAAGAAGAGAATGACTAAAGACTGTGATAAAAGCGCAAAGTCTGCGCCCAGTCAGAAGCAGTCCAGGACGCAGCAGCAGCAGCAGCGTTTGGTCCAGAAGAAGAAGAAGAAGGATCTGACCGCTGAAGAGGACACACAGTCCGGTCAGTGGGAGAGTAAAGCAGACATGAAACCAGCCGGACCGCAGAGAAAGCAAGCGGGGAAACTCTCTGGAGTCCCCGCGGAGAGCCACCGGAGCCCAGGCGCACAGAGGAAGCTGTCGGACGCCAGCAACGCCTCGGAGGACCTGAGCAAAGACTCCGGCTGCCCGTCCGGGAAGCTGTCCTCCTCGGACAGCAGCTCGGAGATCTCCGACTGCGCCTCGGAGGGCAACAAGCGCGACTCTCCGAGCAGCGATAACGAGTTAAGCTGGATCGACGGCAGAGCTTATGAGAGCCCGGGCAGCGGGGGGACGCGCCAGGACGCGCCGTGCTGCGCAAAATCAGCGGCAGATACCTGCGCGCTCCAGCCGGATGCGGCGGCGGCGGCGGCAGCGGGGCTCGGTTCGGGTAAAACAGCCTTCATGGATCTCCTGATGGGGGAGACAACCGAGGAGCTGCAGAGGGAGGTTGAAGACTTGAGGTCAGAGAACGAGTATCTGAAAGTAAGTCGGAACTCAGTGCGCTATTATTAATTTTTAAAATTCTCTTTGCTGGTTTTCGTTTGGAATAACTTATAATCGTAACTATCACTAAGTTTCTCTTTTATTGCATATCTTAAATTGTTTGCACTATTTTCGGAGTGTCCTTCAATTTCAATGTTCATGTGTGGCAACTAAATTCTAATTTTGGCATTCCAGTCGTCCTCTCGTCACAATTCAACTATTGATCACAATATCTAAGAAACCAATAAAGATGAGCTTATTGGCATATTTCCTCCTAAGTAAACGTCAAGTTTTATTGTTAATTTGTTTATTTTTCACCAAAATGTTGGATCTTGTGGTCAGGGTTGGTGAGAAACCTCCAACTTCTAGGGACCTTCCTGTTATTTTTAAGTTAAAACCTGAAAAACATAACTTCTAAGTAAAGACTGAATGCATAATAAACTGCATTATTAAATAATTATTGTTTCTTCTTCATTTTTTGTTAGAAAACCTGGTATTTATGTAAAAAGCAACTCTATAAATGAAAAGAGGAATCTTAAACTCCTTCCTTTCTTTGGACTTTGAGAAGAAAAACAAAACATATCTGTTCTGTCACTAGAATACATTTTGCTGGACCTAAAAATTTTCCTAGAAGTTATTTTAATAAACAATAATATTGTTGTTTTGTGATCGCATTCTAGTACTATAATGATAGCATAATGCAAGTACATTCTTTAAGATCAATAAACTTTAATTTCTAATGAATATTTAACACTGGAACTGGAAGACATTTTAAATATCCAAAATAAATAAACAAAACAACAAATAAAATTAATTATGAAGTCTTTGGAAACAAAATTGCCCTTCAGAAAAAGGAGCTGGTTGAAACCAGACTGAAGAATTTTGTCCTCCAGTTTTTGGTAGAAAGAAAGAAAAGAGAAAAATCATAAACTATGGAAATTATTTAATTTATTTTAATTTATCGTGCAGTTAATTGATTCATGCTTGAAACTTGACCAAAAAACATTTTTTGTTTTTCAAAAACGCCCCTTTATTTTCCTTGAATCATACCAGCTGTGTTGTTTGCCACAGGATGAGGTGGAGGAGCTTCGCTGCGAGATGCTGGAGATGCGCGACATGTTCCAGGAGGAGGAGGTGTACCAGCTGCAGGAGCTGCGGCTGCAGCTGGAGCAGGCCAAGAAGACGTGTCGCATCCTGCAGTATCGCCTCCGCAAGGCCGAGCGGCGCAGCATCCGGGTGGCTCAGACGGGGCAGGTGGACGGGGAGCTGGTCCGGAGCCTGGAGCACGACATAAAGGTCTGGACCCGGCAGGAATCAGCTAAAACTAGCTCAGTCTGAAGCGATTAATCGTGATTAATCAATTACTGAAATAACCGTCAACTAATATAGATACTGATTAGTCGCTAACTGGAGTATAGAGACTCAAAAAAGGCCATTTGCTAAACAAAACAAAACAAAAACAAAGTCAGAGCAGTAAAGAAACCAAACCTGTACGAAAAACATAAAAAAAAAATGTATCAAGATAAAAATAAAACCATTTTTATCTTAGGAGGGTTGCTGGTGCCTGTCTCCAGCTAACGTTCCGGGCGAGAGGCGGGGTCATCCTGGACAGGTCGCCAGTCTGTCGCAGGGCAGCTTCAGTTCTGTAAAATAATCTCCTATTAAGCATCTTTTGCTATTATTTGGTTAATCCAAAAAATAATCAACAGATCAGCCCTGTACTGTATTTATGTTAAGTCGAGCAGAAAAGGCTGAGATTTACAGGTTAGTGTTAGAATTTTTTTTTTGTATTTTAGACAATAAAATCTTTATTTTCTTGTTTAAAATATGCAAATGAACATATTATTCAATTCCTTTCTTAATCTTTTTATAATACTTATAGTATAAAAAGTTGCAGCAGGTAACTTTTACTAAAAAAATATTTTTATATATAACTAAATGAATGTACTTTAATTCCAGATGAAAATTTACAACATATTTGCTGAAACTATGTTGTGACAGTTTGTTATGAGACAGAATCTGTGAAAAAAAATCAAGGCGCTTTGGCTTCTCCCAGTGCAAACTAGAAACAACCAATCAGAGCCAGGAGGCGGGTCTTAGCGCCGTCAATCACTCCTGTGTACTCTCCCCCCTTCTTTATGCTAAAGATACTTACCTGACGGATAAACGGTTTTTCTGTAATGGTAAATTGTTTCTCTGTCATTAGCAAGTTTAGCAGCAAGTGCATGAAGTTGATTGACAGCGCTAAGACCCGCCTCCTGGCTCTGATTGGTTGTTTTTGGTCAAGAGCGTTACATTTCTTCAGACAGTAATAGTAGCTCAACAAGGATGTTCAGGAGATAGATCTTTCCACAGATTATTCATCTCATGTTAAACTGTTATGGTGACAGTTTTGACAAATATATAAAAAAAACATATTTTCATAAATGTTACATGCTGCAACTTTAAATAAAATATCTGCAGAATATGCCAATGATTTATCCAATTAATCATGAGAATAATTGTTGGTTGGGGATCTAAAAACTAACTCTAACAGTAAAAGCTCAAACCTTTTCTGTGTGAATCATCAAATTGACTTTCGAAACCTTTTCTCCTGTTATTGCTTTTATTCTTGCTCATACTGACTGGAAGAGCTCAATCAGTTGACTGTAGCCTGAATCGTGGATGTTTGTTCTGATATAAAGTCATTCCTGCTGCTCACCATGACTGCAGTCATGTCAAAACAGCCTTTCTCATGCATCCTGTTTATATTTTTAACATACAGGATTGTAATTAGGAGCTGACTTGTTCTCCCATCTACCAGAAACATAAAAGTGTAGCGACTGTTGAATGTTTTCAGTACGGTGCCTGGCCTGACTCTGACTCCCCCTCTGCATCCACTCAAAAGGAGAATTCCCGTCACAAGAATTTCCTTGTAAAGTGCGTCAGCCAAGACCAGCTGCTGCAGAAACCACGCTGCACGCACTCATTAAAAATAACGACACCACTGCAGAGTGGAAGCAACCCGCTCTTCTTTTTCCCTCACTGGAGTTGCCGGTGTTACACCAGATTCTGTTACCACTGCATATCGTGACGCTGTTGCATTTCAACACTATGCTTCGTCAAAAACTTAAGCTTTATGGGCCGGGGGGAAAAAAGAAAAATCCAAACATAGAATCATCAGTCACATCTGACTGCTAATATTATGACTTATCATATATTGTAACCACAGATGGGTAGTAACTAGTTACATCTACTTTATTACATTTACTTGAGTAGACTTTCTACCAATACTAATTTTACTTTTACTTGAGTAAAAATATGTTGAAATAATTCTACTTTTACTTGAGTACAATTTCTGAGTACTCTGTTCATCTCTGACTGTAACTTATAGTAAAATATTAAATATTTAAACCTGCTACCTCACTCCTTTTTCCAAAAAGTAAAACGTAACTATCTGACCACTAATATTATAACGTTACATTTTATTATTCGGAGGAAGGAGAGACTTAGCAGAAACAGTTTGGTTTGAATATTTAGTATTGATTAAATACCAAATATTTTTAAATATGCAACAGTGCCTCCTAGGTCACAATTGTTACTCAGGATATGACGTAACAGCTGTTGCTAACCATCTTTTCGTTTCGCTCCCAGGTTGCGAAGAGCGTCTCCCTCCGCCTCTACAACGAGCTGGAGGCGGTGCAGAAGAAAAACTCCCAGCTGGAGTGGGAAAACGAGATGCTGCGGGAGAAAACGCAGGAGCTGGAGGTCGCCAAGCAGGTCCTGCAGAGTGAGGTGGAGAAAGCCAGAGAGGTGACTTTTATTAAAAGTCATCAGTTTAACCATAAAATTGCGCAAGGTGACATTTCGAAAATAAGTTTGCTTAAATATAGAGCATGTAACTTTTACTTATAAAACGTTATATAAATCCGAGGAGCGCATTGGTGAAAAAAAATACAGATTTTCCAACAGTTAAAGCTGCAGGTTGTAACTTTAATTTAAATTTTTTTTTTTTTTTACATATTTGTTAAAACTGTCACCACAGTAAATTTCACAGATAATCTGTGAAAAGATCGATCTCCTCCACCTCCTTCCTGAGCTAATCTTGCTGTTAGAAGGAATTCACCGCTACTGATCAAAAACAACCAATCAGAGCCACGAGGAGGGTCTTAGTGCTGTCAGTCAATCTCATGTAGTCGCTGCTAAATGTGCTAATGGCGGAGAAACAAATTGCCATTACAGGAAAACCATACAGCATCATCTGTATGTTAACTAGGCTAGCAGTCATGACAAGCTATGAACAGAGGAGATACATTGTTTTGCAGATTATCTCTCACATAACAAACTGTCAAAACATGGTGACAGTTTTTTTTGTTGTTAGTTTTTGTTGGCTCTAGTGGCCTTTATTTGAAAGTAGTTTGACAGGAAAGAGGGGGAAGGCATGCAGCAAATGTCGCCAGACTGGGAATCAAACCTGTGACCACCAGCATGAGGACTAAGGCCTCAATACATGGGTTGTGCTTTGCCACTGCGCCACCACAGCGACAGTTTTAACAAATATATACAAATCTTTTTTTTTTTTTTTAATAAAAGTTACATACTACACTACGGATTTAAGAAATGATCATTAAAACAAGCTGCTACATTTGATTGCACTTTAAAAACACAAAATCTTACCAAGTATTGTTAGTCTAGTTTTGATTGCAAATATGTTAACATACTTGACATAAGACAAAACTGACAGCCAGATATAAGAGCTTGATTCAAGTAAATAATTCCTTAATACTGATGAAAAAGTGCCAGTTTCACCAGAAAATTATTTCATTTATAAAATGGAAAACATGTCTTGCTAGAACTGAAATAATCTGCCAGTAACTAGTACTTTGTTGTTTTGTTAAAAGAAATATTAAGTTATTGACTTAAAACAAGTTTATATATCTTGATGAAAAGTTACTTATACGTTAGTTTTGTCTTATTTCAAGTGTACTAAGGTGTTTACACTAGAAACTAGACCTAAAATACTTGGCAAGATATTGTATGTTGTTTATATGAAATATTTTCATTAAAATTTCTACATAAGTTGCTCAGTACTTGAGTCGCCTTTTTAACAAGTACTTTTTTTACTCTAACTTAAGTATTTTCTTGGACGGTTATGTTGTACTTTTTTGTAAGAATATGTTAAAGTAGTGCTACTCTTACTTGAGCTCATTTTTTTGGGTATTTTGACCTCTGACTGTAGAAAAGTGAGACTTTCAGCTGCTTCCATTCACTCTCACTCCATTTTATACAATATAATATTGTCATTAAGGCTGTTCTGGTCAAACAGTAGGGCTACTCTTACTCAACCCACCCCTGTATGACATTGATGATCAGATATACATTAGATGAAAGTGAAGCTTTCACCATCTTTGTGGTCAGGCATCTTCCTCTCCGTTACCCACCACAGCTGCACCCATCCAGCCAGCTGTCCCCTCATCCCTGGGTAAGGCGACCCTCAGTGATATGAGAGGAGGGCCGGGCGGCAGCTGCTTGGTGCCGGGGATGGGTGAAGCAGCCCGCTGGTATGCTTGGGCCAGAACCCTGAGCACAGCTGACACAGTCGCCTGAGATGACAGAAAAAAAGGCACAGAGATTACAAAAATAGACCCTCTGCGACTTTCAGTCGTTCTGCTTGCAATAAGCTGGGCTAAATCTGGATCAGGACGTATTTTGGCATCCAGAAAGGCGTCGGTGCCCACATGCACTGACCCAGAACCTCCATCAAACGTTTTTATCCAAACGTTGACGATTCTCCAGCACTGAACCGTCGGGCTGAGTTTTACCCATCTAGATCCCTCGACCACCTTGGAGGACGGTGACATGTGTTCGGTTTAATCCTGGATTCAGCACTTTGGCTCTGAGACAGTCGCTAGTCTCTTTGATCCCAGCAGTGAAATCCACTTAGATTACCTAATCCAGGGGTCTGCAACCTGTGGCTCTGGAGCCGCAAGTGGCTCTCTGCGACTTCCACAACGGCTCTTCATAATCTTTGGCTGGAAATGATGAAAGAATGAAGAAAAGTTTGGCCGTTTTTATATTTTCTTTGCATTTTAACGAAGAAAAAAATAGATTAAAGTCAGAATTCTGAGAATTTTTTTGTTTTCCTCTCTTTCTTCACCTAAAAATAGAAATAAAATGATGATTTTGCACAAATAACAGATTTCCTACTGTAAAATGCAATTCAAAGAGTACAAGTTGTCTTTTTCTGAAACATCATGGTGCACTTGTGGCTCTAAGCAAGTTTCATTCACCTAATCTGAGGACAGGAATGTCTGTTTGGATTTTAAAGGTTTCAGACCCTGACTCAGTGCAGATAGAAGTGAAGGAGAACAAACATTTCAGAAACTGAAACGGTTTCACATATAATGTGTTAAAATTGAAAGAGAGGAAGAATCTGCCAGTGGAACTAGAACTTTTTAATCAGCATCAAGGAGTTAATAACTTAAAACAAGTTCCTGTATCTTGCTGAAAAGTTACTTTTAAGTTATTTTTCATCTTATTTCAAGTGCACTAAGATATTTGCACCAGAAACTAAACCAAAAACACTTTGTCAAATTTTGTGTTTATAGTGAAGAAGCTTTTAGTCCTGCACTGGGGGAGCAATGTAGACTTCCAAAGTATGAAACCACATTTCAAATAAATGAACTTTGAAGAAACATTTGGTGTTGCAGCACCAAACTGACAGAGCAAGTCCCACCAGGTGGTGCAAAGCAGAAATCAGAAGGTACCAAACAACAAAAACTGGGCTTCAGGAGGGTTGAGAAAAGTTTGTTGGACAGAATGTAGCAGAGTAAATTCTGCCCTTACACTTGTTGCCCCGATTTTGTTGAGTCAGCAGAAGCTTTTGTCGATAGCTGTGGAAAGTTAACTAAAGTAACTTCCAAAATCAAGTAATCAGTAAAATAACCAAGTTACCCTGCCTGCAGGTTCAGAGAAATATCAGGATGTATTAAAAGTTTCTGCTGAAAATCTCAACAGAAGAGTTTTTTTCTTCCTCAGAACACGTTGAAGAGGAGAAGCATCCGATCAACGGTCAGCAAGGCAGAGAAGAGACTTTCTCAGCAGATGGAGGTATTTTCTTCTTCTGAAACTTTCAATACTTAGTTCTCATGTGTAGCTGACAGCCATCTTGGTAGGTACTGTAACTAACTGGCATGACAGTTGCTATGACAACAAGCCACAAGATTAGAGTTAGCTCTTGCTTCATTTCTATCCAAATTATAAACAATAGAAGTATATTACAAGTATTACTGAATTATAAGTATTACTCGATTATGCCTCTGTGTATCAGTGATGTTTACTGCAGTCCTTACTGTGGAACTAGCAAAATTAGCTTAGCTAATGTAGCTTTTATCTGAAAGCTAATAGGGACATGTAACCAATGTGTTTGTTAGCATGTACTTACTCCACCAGAACCAGAACCTTGAAGAGTTCTTGCTTCCTTTACAAAGCCGTTAAAACATTGATTGTATAGATTTCAAGCTCCTCCATGGTGTGGCACTCTTTGTGTTCTCTAAGTAGTGAACTATGTCAGAGTAGGAGATCAAAGGCAGCTTGTCCACATCATGTGACTTGTTTCCATTCTCTGTCTCAAACGGGTCGATCCCACCAGCAGCCATTTTGTTGATATATTTTTCTGCACATTGGTTAAGAGTGTCAATGTACTTTCTTTGTGTTGGTGTCGAAGCCATGGGTCCGCTATGCTTTGCACTTCGTTTGCCTACCAAGATGGCGCAGGTCACTTGTTTCATACTATATATAGATCTCTTGTGCGTTCCTGACTGTCTACTCCGATTGTCTCGTTGAAGGAGGACAGCACTGACCTGAAGTGCCAACTCCACTTTGCCAAAGAAGAGCTGGCTCTCATGTGCAAGAAGCTGACCAAGCTGGTGTCAGACAGCGAGGCCATGCGAGAGGAACTGGCCCGGTACCAGTCGACGTACGGAGATGTAGACATCCTCCCGCTGCCTGAGGGCAAACAGAGCTCTGCCCATGCCAGGGAAGCAGAGGTCAAAGTTCATTTGAAACTGGTGGAAGAAGAGGCCACGCTCCTGAGCCGGCGCATCGTCGAGCTGGAGGTGGAGAACCGCGGCCTGCGAGCTGAGATGTGTGACCTTAGGGAGAAAACAGGAGGAGGAGGAGAGGAAGACGCTGCTGATGAGAATCCATCTCTGACTGCAGCAATTAAAGATGGAGAAATGACGACCCAGAGAGAGAAACCAGAGGAAGGACAAGGGAATGCAGGGGGAGAGTCGATCTGCAGCCAGTCGCAGACGAACAAGCAGATCAGCGAAGGTCGGGAAGGTCCGGTGGGTGGAGAGCAGGAGCCTCCATCTGGCCAGGAGAGAGACGCTAACCAAACAGCTGACGCTACGCTTAAAGAGATGGCCGCCAAAGACTACGAGTTTCTGCTTGCTCTCAGAGATCACGCCTGCATTTTAACTTCAGCCATTCAGGTTCTGTCGGTGCCGCCCAGAAACGGGCACAGCTCCCCTTCGTCGTTTCCCCTCACATCCCCGATGGACGTGACCTCAACTGTCCAGGCACAGCGACCTCTAACGGAGGCGCTGGAGCTGCTGCAGGCCATGCTGCTGGCCTTCATCGAGAAGATGGATGCTCTCCTAAGGGGCGACGATAAGGGCCCTCAGAAGGAGGGATTCGCTTGGGATTTTTCCTCTTTTCTCTCTGCAAACTACGAACGTTTGAAGGAGTTGCATGTGGAAGAAGTCTGCAGCATGCAGGTGAAACAGAAAGCGAAGCAAGGGGAAGTCGTGGACAGTCGGAGGGATCCGAAGCTGCAGCTGTCGTTGCAGATTCTGTGGATCCTTCATCAGTGGTGCAACGTTAGAGGAACCAACCTGGAAGGAAAAGAGGTAACAGATGAACTATTCAAACTAGAGGTGTGCCGATCGATCGGTTACCGATCATTATCGGGCCGATTTTCGTGAAAAAGTGCATGATCGGTGATCGGCG